CTCTGACTTGTGAGAATTGAGAAGTCAGGAAAATTGTATTTAATATTGGTCAATTAAAGAAAGTCAAAAAGGTCAGTTTGAGTAAATTTACATATAGTATCTGCAATCGATACTGGACAACATCTGTTGATTAAAATTACATTAATTTGTTTTGACGGTGGGTCGTCAATTAATGGTTACAATAGGTATATTTGAAGCGATTTAATTGTAGGTTACGATATAATTATGGTGTATTTTAGTAGTATGGGATATAGGGAGATTACAACAAAATAAATATGCGCAAAAGAAAAGTAAGGCTCTAGTATTGTTGATCGACGGCAGCGATTGGCAAAAAGATGGTTTCTCCAGAATTTTATTAGAAGATTTGTGTGATGGATACAACCGAGTACTTTTTATATGTGATCTTCAGGAGATCAAACATGTATTACTAGAAGTATATGGAAGAATAGTGGTGATTATGATTGTTATGGTTGTGATTGATCTTTTGTGCTTCTCTTTTGATGTATTGGCTTGCCTCTTTCGGACTTGAGGGTAGGCATCTATACACAAAAAAGTAATGATGCATTAAATGTGGAGTGCCAGCTAGGAGCGTAGATTGACGACACGTGGTTACATGCAAAAGTGGATGGTACAGCTTAGGCGGTGCTATCAGCTTTATTTGTGTATGTTCATATGTAAAGATAATCGTCAATCTTCCATGGAAAGCTTTTATGGGTGATCGACAGGCCGATCGGGTGATTGGCAACCCTACCGGTGTTTGCTTAAGCCGTCTGAGGGATGACTTCTATGTTTTGGGCCTTGTCTGTCATTTGGATTAAGATTTGTACTTAGCCCATGTCTTCCTTGGAGAACACCGAACGTAGCTCCCAGCCCCAGTGACCACCGCACGCGAGCTAAAAGTAAATTATTAGAGTAAATAAAAGTAATATAAAATTATAATTAAAAATGGGAAAAGGTTATAAAAATATTAAATTATACATTAAAAAATAAATAAATCAATATATATATATATATATATAATATATAACTAAAGTATTAAATATGACTACACAAAATATAAAGGGTAATTTTGTAATTTGCAAAAGATTTTTAGTTACTGCAAATCTAAACGCAAATTTGCATTTCTAGCGAGAGGGAAAGGGGGAAGAACACATTTTTTTTTTGGTTTGTATTTTGATGACAGTTAGTAGACATGGCCAAGAGCCGCCCGGCCTGCCGACCTGGCACAGACCCGGCCCGGTCAAAGCCATTGACCACGGGTCCGGGACCAGATCGGATTTCAGACAGGCCATTTAAGGGTCGTCCATTTCATTACCCGGCCCGCCGGGCTGGGGCCGGGCCGGGCCGATGGCCCGCTTTTTCTATTTTTTTTTTTATTTTTTTCTATTGTTTTTTTATAAAAATGACGGACCCGGCTCGGACACGACCCCGCCCGATCAATCGGGCCATTCACCCGACACGATTATAGGTCTGTGCCGGGTCCGGTTCAGTGTTTTCGAGCCCGGCGGCCCGCCGGGCCGGGCTGGGTTTGGCCATGTCTAACAGTTAGAGCAAAAATAGTATGCAGTTTGATTGGATCAAACGAAAATTTATCTCACCTTAACATTATCTAATTCCAATCCGTTACTGCAATCAGTACCAACTTTATTGGAAAAGACTACAGACGGAATCATTCCGTTGGATTTTTAACTGTTAGATACACGTATAAATTAGTGCAGGATCGACAATCTATTGTTAAAAATCCCGATGAAATGGTTTCGCAACAAGACTATAGTATTTTTCAACTATTAGAGCATCTACATTGCATTGGATCTAGTCTTGCCTGTGTGGCATGTAAATAAACCTAAGTCCTAGATGACATGGATAAAACTATGTAAAATTAACAAAATCCACTCCAATGCAAGAGACTATGTCTCTACTTGGGTCCAAAATAGACTTAAAGGGTAGACCGAGTCTTTTTTTCTGGCTGTCACATCAGCGCAAGACCCAGTCTACTTTTATTTGCATTGGAGAATAAATTTTTTTAGACTGAGTCTATTTTTCAGGTGGCATATAATTTTTTGGGATTGAATATAATTTATGAAATAAAATTAATTCTTTAATTTAAATAGTAAAACATTTCCACTAGAGTAATATCATTGCTCTCCCCATTTAGCTCCAATTTATTCAATAAAACATACCTCTAAATGATTAATTAATATTAATCTAATAATTTACCTCCTCATGTTTAAGATATCACATCCGTCAATTAATTTAATTACTGATAATTAAATTAAATTGACCTCTTCATTTCCCGAATTAGTACCACTCAATTCATTAATCATTATGTCGAATAATTATCCACCTGCAGGGTTTGACATAGTATTCCTTCCTGAGCTTATTTCGGGGACGTCATCAACCCAGCGCACTGGGATATAGTGAGTGTAAATAACGAGTATGTCCAAAATAGCAAGTATGTCATCCTAGCAGAATAGGAATCACCCTTGATAAATCAAATAAGTAAGTAATGAATATATATGCCCATTTTATATTATCTTACAGCTTAAGAGAACGCATCAATTATTGAAGGTTTAGATTATAATATCAATCAGTAAATCTTATAATCTTATCCTTCCGGGGTCCGTTCAATACTTATCATAAGTACTAGTGTAATTTATCAATCAAAATTCAACTGATTCAAGACTACACTACAGTCTTTTTCCAACAGGGGTCTCACTGTTTGTCTAAACTGTGAACAATAAATTTATATTTTACAAGGAACCGATAATATGATCTTTATGTTCGACAAGCCGAATCATATTATCTACAATGTAAAATAATGGAGTTATGATTGCATAAATAAATAAACTGCAAACATAAATACTTTGACTAAAACACGAAATTGTTAGATCAAAATGGTATTGTTCATATCTGAAAGTCAAGCTTTTACAGCATATCTAACAATTTCCCACTTATGCTTACTAAGCTCATGGCTATCACTAACCACAATTCTCTTTCAATCTAATTGTCAAAGACTAGTCTACTATGTCGTCTATCGTCTGAGTCTCATTCCTTCTACGTGTCTCTCAAAGACTTTTGCCAGTAGGCTCTTCGTAAAAGGATCTGTTAGGTTGTCCTCC